ATGCACACTGTAAATCTACATATGCTTGTAAACGTAGGAATTCACTGCACTACCACATACAAAGCCTCCTTCTGTATTCACGAGTATCCTTTCTGATGTATTTTTCATTTTCTTAGACCTTTAAGGTAAACGTATTGCTCAAATCATATCAATTTCAGTTTTTTCTTCTTCTTTGGTAGACACTTTAACAGTGTTTCCCTGAAGAGCTCCAAGAAGGGCCATAAGAAAGTTAGACACACTTTTGAGAGGTGCAGTTTGAGCTCATCTTTGGGCGTGTGCACAGATGAAACATGTTATAGACAGCTGTTCCCACAGCTGCGGCTCACACACACAGACACACACAATAGCATATGCACACAAGCTGCGAAGAGAAGGACGCTGAGGGGGCTATAGAGTTCACGCACCCTCCATCACTCAGGGCTGGTACTGGAGAATGTGTGCGCGGCGAGCCAAGTCGCAGCTGTATCCGCTCACTCAGAGCTGTGGGCATATTACACAGAAGGTGACGACTACGAGCCAACTCTATGTCTGCACACACTGTAGAAAACCAGCTCGTTCCCTCCCGACCGCTCACTATTCAACACTTCCCTCATGACTCCCAGCGTGACAAGTCAAAAAGCCTTGAAGTGCACAAGAGACTATAAAAGTGATGAAACGTCAGGTCTTTTCACATTAACATCCTCTTCGTCTAGACCTTGGTGCTTTTATTGGGAATGATTCTCAATTCAACAAATAAAAAGCTGAAGTGTCGTATCTATATTTTAACGTGATGATTATGTAAACTATGGCTTTGTCTGAGGTTTTCCCAGCAGCCCCTGCTCTGCCGCCCTGGCATCAGATTGGTCTCGCAGAGGGTCCACTCATGTCACACAAGGCCAATCATCTAGCATCGGACACAGCAGCTCAGGATGTGAAGCAATTTGTCTGAGCTGACCTTTGAAATAGATGAGGATCTGTAGAGCAGGTGTGGTCTGCTCATGAGTGGGCAGGTCGTGTGAAGTTCGTCTAGGAAGTGGTTTATACTTCTCTTTTTGTCCTCGCTTCGTTTTTGATTTGTGCTTGTGAACATTGAGCTCGACAATACATGTTGGGAGAAAGAGAAAACACAAGTGTATATAGGAAGAAGAGAAAACTGGATTTTGTAAGATGCGTGAGGCAGTTAGAGAGACAAGCTGTCTGCCCTGTTTGACAGATGTAGACAGAGGGAGTTACCAAAGCGTGTTGTACAACAAAGCTCTTTGATTGTGTTGACATCCCTGTGGGGGTTAGTCTTTACCGTTTCTTGGTGAGGTTAGGAAACTAATTACTTGTTTCAAAAGATTCCATTTCGAATGCAATAGGGTGCATTTTCGTACTGAACAATTTATGTCCGGTGCAGAATAGTGTGTTCCTCAATATTGTGAGGCTGCAGTTGGTGAACTGGAATGAATAGAGTTTGCATCTCATTATAGAGCTCCAATTAACATTTGCCTTTTCTATTAGCCCACAATCTTTGCCTAATTGAACCAAATGTCTTGCCTAGCCCTAATCACACCTTGACCATAGTTTATTTCCCATAGCTTCAATATTTCCCTAGACTTTGAATGTAAGCTCATTAATACAGGAGGTGGTTCCAGCAGTAACCTTTGATTTATTAAGAAATGGCTTTTGTTGGTCGTAAAAAATGGAAACCAGACACAGAGAAACACCTAAGGCAAAGTTCATGTCTGCTGTCAAACATTATATGCTGCGATCCTCCTCTACATTTTATTATCACACACACACACACACACACACACACACACACACACACACACACACACACACACACACACACACACACACACACACACACACACACACACACAGTGAGTGTTGCAGTTTCACAACATCTGTTTCTCCTGCAGCTCCGTACTTGCAGCCAGGCGGCCTTAGACGGCAGGTCCGATGGCTTTTTATTCAGGCTCTCGGGNCCCTTCTTTGTAAAACAAACACACTGCGTGTTTCTCAATCGTGAGGATGCTGGCTTGGTAGTCGCGTACTTCCAAGTCACTTCCTTCAGAAACGAAGCAAGTATGCTTCCAAGCCACGGCTTCGGAAAACGAAGAAGAATGGAACAGGCTAACAAGTGTGCCACTCTCTCTAACGGTTTCAACATAAACTGTACCGAAAATAAATACCTCACGATGTCTATCTAATTATGAACTGGCTTTACTTTCACGGACACATTTTTGATGATAACGAACAAATGTAACAAAGTAACATATTTACCAACACATGTTCTACGCCACTACATACTTACATTTAAATGTAAGTCGGTTCAGCAATTCTCCGCAAGGGTTTTTGAAATTGGTCCGTGCGCAAAGCATTGTGGGGATTTTAAGGACGCAAAGTCTACCCATGTGCAGCCTCGAAATTACCCCCAAACCAAGGACGCGGCCTTGGTGGAATTCCAAGTATGCTGGAGATTAGAACAGTCCTTCGGTGGTACTCGATGACGTAGCATCCTTGAAATATTGGCTTGGAAGCCAGTTTCCTCGAGATTGAGAAACGGCCAGTTTC